TTCTATTCTTTTTGACTTTATAGGAACCTTAAAGGATCAGCGAAGAAGAAGCAGAAGACAGAAGCGACGCCGGGTAAATTTAAGAAGGGGAAGTAGACTTTACCAAAGACTCCTTGATTCTTTTGGGGAAGTAACTATTCAACATGAGCGACACCAACTAAATAAAGAGTATTAACATGAACGTAGAGCTACAAGTGATGTAGGAGGAAGCTGCAACACGATGAGGTTTTGTGCAATTAGTACTTCAGCTGAACAACTGTTCATACAAGACCAACGTGCATTTATTGACTGACAAAATCAGTTTGATGTTTTTTTTATCAAATTGTGTTTTCTGTTGTTGAATAAATACATTTTTTTACCAATGTGTTGTTAGCCTTTGTCAAAATACATTATTAGTATAATTATTCTGCCCGGCACATTTCTGTGTATGTTCTTCTAGGCCGTACTCCTGCACACACACACACACACACACACACACACACACACAATCAGCTCACAGGTGCATGCAGATTATTGATGAGCACCATTATCTCACTCAAAGTAAAAATAACACACAACATCTACACTTTGTAGAAACAAGAGCATCATTTTAACAAGATGGACCATAAAGAATAATTCATGAATGCGTAAATAGGAAAGAAGAGCACATCCTCCTGTAAGCCTGGAGAGAATATGGTTTCATATTTGATGTAATCTTACAGAACAGTTCATGTCATAACTGTTGTTTCTGAAATGGCAAAACAAGACAATTATTGAAATAAATATAAATGCACATGAGCAGGAGTCCAGTTAATAATGCATCAATAATCATTCTCTGGAGACATTTTATTCAGTACAAGACGACCAAAATGAAAAGTATCTGCCTCTCGTTTGTCACGTTTTCACATGTTTAGTTGGTGTTGCGACTCTGAGTGAGGTGAGAAACCTTTATTTAGCTTTGTGGCTCTAACAGATGAATAAGGAGAAGTGGGGAGCGTCTGACACTCAATACGATCTGAGGACGTTCAAGAACAGGGGAAGTCGTTTAGTCAGAGTCTAGAGGATTCTCACTTGTGAAATACAACTTGACAAACAAGTATTTCACCATTATCTAAAGTCTTGAGATTGAACATTGTTAAAGGAAGTTCTAATTGTTTTCTCATTAGAGCAAAGTCTCCCGTTAAGCCGAATCTTCCAGACCGTCCAAAGGACATTAAGGTGGTCATCAGTGCAACTGGAGGCCACCAGCAGAGGGATGCTCATGCACAGGATCATCACTTTAATGTGATTGTATTATTGTGGGTAATTTGAAGGTTCCAGCAGCAGAAATATTGGTATGTGATGTTTTAAAGTCATAAAATGTTCCCTGAAGTAGAAGGTGACCATGCTGTTGTGTTGCAGGTGATCAACAGTATGAACGAGTTGGTGCTCAAGTCGTAGAGAAAGTTGTGGGAATCATAATGCTCGTCAGTATTTTGATCTTTCAGCGGTCGGACTAAATATTCTGTCATGTGATCATTTGCAGAGACTAATTCTATTTTAGAGCATGTTTTGTATCTGTAATAAATCATTGATGTGATTTCTTATACAACAGGACCCCTTAATGTCGTCTCCTTTCCTTCTCACTAAACCAGTGACGGTGAGCTACTTGAGGAGGAAGGTACATTATTTACAACTAAACTTTGCTCAAGTCTCAGGATGAAGGAAAGCAATCAAACAGCATAGCCAACAGTGTCTGCACCATCAGGGGACGGTGGACCACAATGCATTGCAGGTCCATGTAGCTACGGATATGAGCAGTAAGTATGTGACTGCTTGCTTTTCTGAGAAGTTCAGATCATGTGACATCTGACACTTCATTCGGTTTCAAACCTTCTTTTTGTGGTTAAATATGGAGTTTGTTATCTTGCTCAAACACGTTCCTGAAAGTTCCTCAATTGTAGCACTTCTCTACGATCTGAAGACGTCTCTGTTTCTCCTTTTTGCTGTGGGCCTATTTGATGAGGCAAAGAGTTTAACTGGTTCTGTAGAAGCCTTTTCCGTTCGTCCCTTTACTCCCTGATCAGCTTCTACCGGTGGCTGAGCTGCATATATCTTGAGTGCAGTTTGTAAAGATGAGGAGTAGAAGTTGATCTGGTTCGGTGCAATGACCATTTATTATTCTTAATGTATAAAGAATGTACAAACCAAAAACATGAGGTGAAAATAAGAAACAATTAAACTGAAGCAGTCTCTTATATGGTGGGAGACGGCTTGTCACGTCATGTCCCTCACGTCTCTCCACCACACGGTCAAATGTCCTCTCAGGACAAACCCACTGCTGTGTCTTCCTGTCTTTAAAGCCTTTCCTTGGGCTCCAACTTCAGCCTCCCAACCGTACTCTAGGTGGGGTAAACAGACCTGTGGCCATATTACTCACTACTATTCACGAGAAAGAAACATGAAATACACCTTAATATGGCTCCTACAGGTTGTGTTAATTCACATCTTGTTTGTTTTATAATCTGCACTAAAATGAAAGGTTTTGTATTTGTGTTTGCGGGATGTAAATCAAGGTTCTCATGTTGAGTAAACTTAAACACAACAAATACACAGCACGTTAATGTGTGAATTTATATAGTGAATTTTCTTCAAAAAAACACAAAGTTTTAACAAAATCCAGATTGAGTGTGAGTTGAGTTGAGTGTGATGGAGGTCCAGGCTGTGAGAATGGGGACAGACGGCCTGTTCCTGAGTGTCTACTTAGTTTCAGGTGAGCTGCTGGTTCAGTCCCTTTTATTTGGAGACGTCACTTTAATCATTTACAGTGTGAACTGTAAGACGAAAGCAGAAAGAGTCACTTGTTCCATCTGTTCATGTCCTGACTGGAGGTGGTGATAGTTATTCATAAAAGGCTGCTGCTAACTTTCTAGTGTTGTCAAAGTTTGTTCATCATCGCTCTCTTCATACAGAATTATTATATATAATGTTAATCATTAGATTGTTTCACAGTGCTTCTGTTGCTTGTTATAAGGATTCACTTCTATTCATTACTGCACCAAAAGAAGCACTGACGGGATCTTGTTTGCAAATTCAGTGTAGTGTCGTAAAAATTACGTATGCATCCATAAGGTCCACATAAATAAAGGAGAGATGGTATTTATCAGACGCTAAATGCTTCATTTCATGCTTCGGGCGACTGTGGGTGAGTGGGGAGCACGGTCGTCCTCCAATCAGAGGGTTGTGGGTTCGATCCCAGGCCCGGCTAACCCGCATGTCGTTGTGTCCTTGGGCAAGACACTTAACCCACCATTGCTCCTGTAGCTGCGACTACAGTGTGTGAATGGTAGTTACTGATGGCAGGTGTCACTGTGTATGGTTCTCCTGTCATCAGTGTATGAATGGGTGTGAATGGGTGAATGATGTCATGTAGTGTTAAAGCGCTTTGAGTGGTCAGAAGACTAGAAAAGAGCTATACAAGTACTTACCATTTAATCATTTAAAGGACTTTTATTTAATCGTTGGCTGGTGAATTAATGGGCGTTGTGGTATTTTTTGTTGTGGTTTTAGTACAATACAAGTGTGTGAATTCTATTTTATTTGCCATTTGCAGGAACACCAGCAGTGATATTTGTCTCCACCTCCCAGTTCCTCCTCCTTCCTCTCACAGACCATCTTGGTTCAAAGACCTGTGACTTCTGCATTAACTTGTCAGACAGCAGACTGCACTGAAGAAGAAACACTCACTCAATGTAAGTTAATGCCACCTTCAATACTTCATTTTAGTAGGACAGCAAAAAGAGGAAACTGTCTTTTTATTACTAAAATATCATCGTTACGAGAGATTTAACTCTAACTAATCACCAACAATTTTACTGATTGCCTGACGTATCAATGCAGAGAGAAGTTTAATAGACATTAGAGATGAAAAGGAAGTAGAAACTATGAATGAGGAAATGTTTTGACTGTCGGGGTAAGTCATTTATTTAAAGTTTATTAAAGCAATAAGGTACGGGAGGCTGTACTTTATCGTCCAATAACAGTTCGGGGGTGTTGTTGGGCCCGACGAGCAGCGGGACGTCCCGCACCATCTCATTCATTCACATCATGACGTCCACCTTAATTGTCCGGTTGCTAAAGCTCGCGTTGCCCGAAAACGATCATTTGTGGGATTTCTGTTTTTTTTCGGCGATCACCACCGAACTGAAAGCTAAAATATCAACTAACAGTCGAGCAAAATCTAACCTGCTACTTTGACTGCGCAGTGATACGGAACACTCGGGTCAATGTGAACAGCAACTGTACATTATAGATCAATAATGTACCCTCGTGACTCACTGTCAACCAATCAGAACGCTGGATTTCATCTACCCGTTTTATAAACGTTAATAACACAATAAGTGTGTGAGTTTCATCAGTCCTGTAATGCAGAGCAACAGAGACTCCGTTATTCACAGTGACTAAACTCAAGTCACTGACTGTTAATGCTACATTATTATTATTGTGATGTGTGTGATACATAAAGATGATATAGACTCACGGATATGAGCAGTTAAGGGGAGAACTCTGCTAAAACAAAGACCTGCACTTGATCTAATTGTCCCTCTGTTATGGACGTGGGCTTCTTTGGTAAAAGAGTTGTCGTCTTGGCGCAGGGGTTAGAGAAGGTGTGCTGGGAAGCACAAGGTTGTTGGTTCAATTCCAGGCTGCCCCATGTTCCATGTCGAAGTGTCCCTGAGCAAGACACCTAACCCCTAATTGCTCCCCGGGCAAAATGTGAAAAGCCGTGGGTTATAAGTGTAATGTAAGTCTCTTTGGATAAAAGCGTCTGCTAAATGACCTGTAATGTAATGTAAGAGGGAGACATTCATAGTTTTGTTCTCATCCAACACTCAGAGTCGTACTCGTCCACAGACTTGTGAACTGTGGTCTCTTCACACACAGGAACTTGTGGTTGCACACAGCATGTTGAACGCTTCCTAGAACACTGATGTTGTGTTTGTGAATCAGGTGGTGAGTGTCATGGCCGACCAGTCTGTTAGGATGGTGACAGCCATCGTGTTGCACAGTGTCTTCTTCCTCTCAGGTGAGCTTCATCTTCACTCACTTGTGTTTCACTTCAATCATTTACTGTTGGGAAAATATCATTTCAACCTAAATTCATGTGAATGTTACAATCTGTGTTTTCCTGCTGGGCTCTTTTATCACGGAGACAAAAGTGACGTAGTTATTTGGAGACAGAGACGGGTTTGGTCCCACTGGGCTCGGCCTTGTGGGGGAAAGTTGAAAAAAAAAGATGAATCAACACAAAAACTGTTCAGAGAAAAAAAGAACACAACGCAAAACATTACTGCTGAAGTATATTTCTCTTTGTGTTCATGTTATTGTTGTGTTTTTACACATTTTAATCACCACTGTTAATCATTAGTTTGTTTCACAGGTGCTTCTGCTAATTGTTATGGGCTTACAGCTCTATTCATCACTGCACCAAAAGAGATGGAAGCACTGACTGGATCTTGTTTGCAAATTCCATGTAACTTCAGCGTGAAATCAGGAGAGAAAATCAACAGCAGAACAACAACCTTTGGAGTGTGGCTTAAAAATGGCCCTTTTATTGGCAAACCTCCCAGTGAGGTGATTTCCAACAGTAGTGGGACAGTTTCCACATATCCGATGAGTTTTACTGGAGACTTGAGTCAGAAAAACTGCACCACTTTATTTTCCAGTTTAAACACAACATACACAGGCACATACTACTTCAGGGTTGAGAACCGGCCATTTCTAGCAACAGATGAATGTGATGGTCTTCAAATAACAGTTAAAGGTAAGAGACTTTTGTTTTCCATAAAACAATCTGAGATGTTACTACTTTAGGCTGCGCACGCTTCTGCTTCTGCTTCTGCGTCGTTGCGTCGACGCACTCGCTTCAATTCATGGTTCTAAAAGTCTTGCAGAGCAATTCACCGCCAGAACAACAGGCGGAGTAACGTGTTTCTGTTGAAGACGACCTAGAGAGTCACGTCTTTGTGTGTGGAAGTTGTTGGTTTGTTTATTTATTTATCATAGACTTTATTGCCCCGTGCATCGCCACTGTTGCTTTTCATCACGGACACATTTGTCCCGTATTTTCCGCCACAACTTTGTGCACCTCTCGACCGGCAAACCGGCGTTTGCGGAGATCTCCTTCTGTGAATCCAACCCGATTCTACAACCCGCCTGTGAGGGGTCAGGACTTCGACTCAGGTGCAGAGCAATAAGGCAACAGAAAATTCTTTCATGGTTTGGAATCTTTTACTAGGAGAGTAAACTAATGCAAGACAAAGGGTGCACAGGCAAAGGCGGAATCCACACGCTCTTGTAGAAACAAAAAGGAAGAGAGCCTGGCAATGAAGTAGAAACAAGATTACCAAAAACAGCACTGGGAATTTCTAACAACAAACATGCACCTCTAGGAAAGACAAAAGATAACCTGACACAGACAAGTGGGGAATTGAGGCTTAAATACAGGTGGAGGTGATTGCAAACTAAACTCAGCTGTGAGGAGAAACGAAGGGTGAGAAACTAGATACAGGAAGTGCCGTGGTTACAAAAATAAAAACAGGAAGTTAATCTTCACAGTGTCTTCGAGTCGTCACACCGCCAATGACGGCTTGTATAAGCGGTCATATTTACGCATTTCTTCCGACAAAAGTTCTTCAATCTGATCCGTTCTCTCGTAAACATTCTTCGTTTTAATAATGGCGGTATCGGGCTATGAAAACGGAAATGTGAGACTCCGTAAAGGACGTAGTTAGCGGACCAATCGCAGCCTGGTGCGCTGCGGGAGGCTTGCGTTGCTTTCGACGCAAGCCTAGAAAAATGGGTCGACACACGCAAGGACGCAAGGAGGTGTGAAAAGCGATGCAAGGGGGTCTTGCGTCTGCGTGGCTCTGAAAACGCAGAAGCATAAACCAGGATTTAATCAGGCTTAAGAGTCTATTTGTTTCTGTTTTATTCAACTTGTAATGTAAATATAAATATCTACAGACACCAACAAGGGATTGAAATGTTTACTTTTTGTTCACTACTATTATTAATCCCTGGAGAAAACTGCCTGTACATGCCGACTTTTGTATTTATTGCTTAGAAGGGTAGAAGTTACAAAAGTTCTGTTTTTTGGACTATTTGGATTTACCATCAGAGTATTGACAACATTAATTAGTGAAAGTTTACATTTAATTTTCTATCTATTTCTGTCTATGAATAGACGTTGAAACAACTTTCACTTTTGAACCAATTTGCAACCTCTTTTCAACGTCGGGCCATAGACGTCTTTTAAACGTTGTTTCAACGGATGAATTGCTCGCTGGAAACTTACAAGTTACATACTTAGTCACAGTTGTCATGTTAACATCCCGTAACAAGGACAAACACATTATTTTATTAATTTGTATTTATTATAAATATAACACTATACATATAACAACACTTTTGCTAATTAAAAACAATACAGAAATAATATATATATATATATATATATATATATATATATCAGGGAAATAAACTATGGAATTAAAAGTGCAGAAACAACATTTCTGTGTTCAACATTTCTGTGTTTGTAGACCAATTTTCTGAATCATTGGAACTTGATTATAGATTCTGTCACAGGCCGGCTCATAGCCTGTGGCAAGAATGAGGGGACACAAACACCAAGTATAGGCCAATCAAAAGAAGAGTTTATTATCAATCAAAAACTAGTAACTTTAAACAAAGAAAAGGAATGAGGTGTGCGAATGTCATAGTGTAAGGTGTATGTAAGGTGCATGGTTGAGTGAATCTGTATGTGTAAACATGACTGAGTGTGAACAACGTAAAACCTTCAAAGGAACAAACAAAACAGGATCATACCTGGAGGAGCAGAGAGAAAAACAGAAGTGGTTAGAGGCCTTCTTATACCTAGAGCCCAGGTGGCTCCAATCGCTAAAGACCCTCCTCTGCCTGCAGGAGGAACCGCCCCTGCAAGGCCGAGGAGGAGCCGTGACACCCCCCTCCTTAAGATGAGGGTCCAACCCTCAGCCCCAAAATTTGACCCACATTGAAAACAATCCAAACAGTTCCCTCAAAATACAACAAAAAGAATACCCGTCCTGGCTCCTAACAGTCACCCTGTGTCCCCCGCCTGACTGTCCATACCTCAAACTCTGCAGCCCTGGTACCTAGGGAGTAAATTAAGAGAAAAGAGGCGCAGACAACCCGTAGGGGTCAACAGAAAGAACATACCAACTAGGTTACAGGAGCACGGGACAGAGCGTCAGCAATGATATTATCCTTGCCACTAATATGTCTAATATCAAGGTTGAACGGTTGCAGGAACAAAGCCCAACGCATCAAACGCTGGTTGGGATTTTGCAAGGACTTCAAAAAAATGAGGGGGTTGTGGTCAGTGAAAACAGTTAAAGGGGTCAAACCGGAACCAACATAGACCTCGAAGTGCTGTAGAGCCCAAATGAGACCTAAAGCCTCCTTTTCAATCACAGAATAGTTCTGCTGATACTTATTAAATTTCCGGGAGAAGAAACTGACTGGACACTCAACTCATCATTTTCCTGGAGAAGCACAGCCCCAGCACCGATTTGACTGGCATCTACCTGTAATTTAAAAGGTTTCTCGAAATTTGGTGCTGCCAACACAGGCGACAAACACAGAAGAGCCTTAACTGCATCAAATGCCTCTTGACAGTGGGTGGACCAGATGAATTCAGCTTTAGCCTTCAACAAATTTGTCAGTGGGGACACTACTACCGAAAAGTTTTTACAGAAAGCACGGTAGTACCCCGCCATTCCCAGGAAGCGCATGAGTTCCTTCTTTGTAGAGGGCTGTGGAAACTGCTTCACAGCCTGGACTTTTGCTTCCACGGGACAAACAAAACCCTGACCAACCACCTTGCCTAGGTATGTGACTGTAGCTTTGGCAAACTCACACTTTGCCAAATTGATGGTCAACCTGGCCCACACCAGTCTTTGAAACAAGGCTTGCACTCTGCAGATATGCTCCTCCCATGAGTCAGAGTAGACGACCACGTCATCCAAATATACAGCACAGCCTTCCAGACCTGAGACCACACGATTCATCAGCCGTTGGAAGGTGGCTGGAGCATTCCGCAAACCGAAAGGCATCACTGTGTACGAGAATAAGCCAAATGGTGTTATAAAAGCAGCAATCTCACCAGCCCTTTTGGTAAGGGGCACTTGCCAATATCCCTTTAAAAGATCAAATTTGCTAACAAACTTTGCAGACCCAACTTGATCAATACAATCCTCCATCCTAGGAAGAGGGTAAAGGTCTGCTTTGGTAACATTGTTAATTTTTCTATAATCAGTGCAGGGTCTGAAAGTGGAATCAGACTTTTTTACAAGAAGACAGGGGGAAGCCCAATCGGAACAACATGGCTCAGCAATACCATTGTCCAACATATACTGTACCTCTGTTTCCAATTTTAGTCTCTTCTCCTCAGGTACACGGTAAAATCTCTGTTTGATAGGCTTCGCATCTCCGATGTCTATGTCATGCTCTGGTAAATGGGTTTGTGATGGAGTGTCAGAAAACAAAACATTGTAGTTTCTAATTAGAGTTACCAATTCATCACGTTTCTCCAAATCTAAATGATCTACCAAAACCCCAAGGTTTTGCAAAGTCTGGGAGTTTTTCAACCGACCCTGCAGGACTTCATCAGAAACCCTAATGACCTCCTCCTCTCCCCCATCCACAAAGTTTAAGCCACAAGATACAGTGACTGGAGCAGCAGTCAACGCTGACTTCACTACTCGAGTGCCCTCCACTTTGCTTTGATCACGGGAGTGATAACATTTTAACAGGTTCACATGGCATAATTTAGAGGACTTCCTATACCCCGGAGTTTCAATAAGATAGTTCAAATCTGACACTTTGCGCAACACAGTAAAAGGACCACAGTATTTTGCCTGAAAAGGTGAACTTACAAGAGGCAAAAGAGCAAGTACACGATCACCGGGAGTAAACTCACGCAACTCCGCCTGTCGGTCATATCTCAATTTCATTTTCTTTTGAGAACATTTTAGCTTTTCTTTCGCCAGTTCTCCAGCTCTATACAACTTCAGCCTAAATCCATTTACATAGTCAATGAGGTTCCGAGGTGGTTCTTCAGGCAAACAACCATCCTGCAGCACTGCTAAAGGCCCCCGTACCTTATGACCAAACACCAAATCATTTGGGCTGAACCCTGTGCTCTCCTGTACTACCTCACGAGCAGATAGTAGTAACCAAGGTAATCCCTCCTCCCAATCTGCAGACAGTTCTGTACAGTACGAACGAAGCAAAGATTTTAAAGTTTGATGAAATCGTTCCAAAGCTCCCTGGCTCTGGGCATGGAACGCAGTAGACTTGTTGTGTTTAACTTTTAGCTGTTTGAGAACCTGAGCAAATAAATGGGAGGTAAAGTTAGAACCCCGATCTGACTGGATGATTTTTGGAATTCCAAATGTAGAAATGAATTGAGTTAATGCTTTAACTACTGCTTTTGAAGTCTAGCCTTCTTATACCTAGAGCCCAGGTGGCTCCAATCGCTAAAGACCCTCCTCTGCCTGCAGGAGGAACCGCCCCTGCAAGGCCGAGGAGGAGCCGTGACAATTCTGTAACAAGATGTGGATCTGAGTCAATTGAGTTGGGATAGTATACCTGAAATCCGCTGCATCTCCCTCATCCTCACTTGTGTAAAGGGAGTCAGAGTGCACAGAGCAGATTGCTCTGGTCAACGTGTTTATTCAATTCAAATCATTTTATTTTGTTCAGCTTTGCAATCTGTAAACATGCAACACCCTATAAACCCCAAAATGTAAAAAACCTTCAACCTGGAGAAACCTGAGGGGAAAACAGCAGGGAAGCAGGTGTGTAGAGTATGAACAACTTAAAGATGTACAGTACATCCGATTCTTACAAAAGAAATGATTCAAATATTGTGGATTATCAAGCCAGGGGTAAGGCAGGACCAGTGCAGGGACAACCGTCATCAGACGTAACCTCCATCAGATGCAACCACCACCCACAGAAACCTGTGAGGAAGGAAAGCACAAAGGCAAAGTTGGTCATTTGGGTTTATGATGACAGTAATAAACTAATAATAATAACAGACGCAGGTGTGTTAGAACCCTCATTTATAGATGGTTTACTTATTACATTATAAACAAGATAACAATTCATCTGCAACTTATGGCATTTCTGGAGTAACATTTCCAGGTATATTACACAGTATCATGCTTTAAGCAGCAGTAACTCACAATGTTTCGGCCTCTTGTTTACAGAGCACAACTTGTTGAATTCAGCCCTTCACCCTTCCAATCTGTATTTAGCCCCCATTGCTTTAAAAACGTATTTTCAATGTGAAATACAATAATATTTATGGGTACAGCAGCAATCTAACGCATTAGCAACACCAAACACACAAAAAATATTCTGGGATGTTTACTTTTGGTCCAGGTCATCATGCTGCACGCTAGCATGCTAACTAGCAAACTACCTGCGCTAACGCTAACTAGCTTAACAAAAAGGACTGTCTTTCCTGTATCGAGTCGGCAGCACAAGTAAAACACCCGGTTATAGTTCCAGGTGTGTTTCATTCAAACAAACACGTACTTAGAGTATTGGAGCCGGTAGTCGTGGTTCTATCAGCCCGTTCATGTCGCTCTGCTGCCGTAACTTCGCCTCGTGCTGCGTCCGCTCGGAGCTCTGCAGGTGTCTAAGAACTCGCGCATGCGCGTTACAGATGTGAGCGGAGTTACGTGATTACAAGTAATGTTTGAACCTGCCCGCATTATTATGTCTTAAACGCATCGTATTAACAGCACGCAGTTCGTAGTTTCATATTTATGAAGTTTTAAGTGAAATATTAAATACGTTGAAATCACGTATTCGCGTAGACCAAATTTCGCCGACCAGTTCATTAATTATTCTGAAAATCTTAACGTTAATATCACCTCTCTTTCAACCTTACGTTACAACATGACACATTTATCAACAAATTGACGTTTTCTAGCACGTTGATGTTTCATCCCATTTTTAGCCGGTTGAAAAGACGTTGAAATGAGGTCTTAGACGTTCAGTCCTCATTTCAACCGGATTTCAACCATATTTCAACGTTGAAATTACGTCTTGTGCTCACTGGGGTGGGAAAAGAAAAGAGAAAGAAGTTCTGCTAGTTCATATTTTGGACTTTTCTCTAATCTTTGCTTCATTATGAAGTAGTGTAATTATTAAATGAAGCCATGTGAGAAGTTCAGAGGGGAAATGTTGATGAATCTGCTGACATTCAGAAACATCTGAAAAATGACGAGAAGCCAGAAACAAACACATTATTTAACAAACAAAGAAAAACAATTCATAATCCAACATCTGATCTTTGAGTAAAAATACAATATTTTGCTCTCAAATGTAGAAGAGTACTTTTATCACAGACCAGGGTCTCAAACTCGATTCAGATGCAGCCCACCTCGACCGACGCGGCCCAGACCATTACGGTCAACGGGGTGGTGCCTTCAATTTAACAAACTGTGTGTGTGTGTGTGTGTGTGTGTGTGTGTGTGTGTGTGTGTGTGTGTGTGTGTGTGTGTGTGTGTGTGTGTGTGTGTGTCGTTCGTTTTCTCCGCTGGACAAAGAAGTCGCCTTTGCTCAAGATGCCACTTTATTGATCATTGACACAAATACTGGTACCGTCACTGCAGTTTAGCCTGAATAAGTCCACTGCATTGTGAGTGTCAAGTGCGCTGTTTTAAGCGTCGTTTCATGTGAGTTCCGGGACCCCCCCCCCCATGTCACTCACATGCATGTCGGATTCACTGGACAGACACACTGTAGGAAACCAGAACATCAAAACAATACAAACACATTATTTAATAAACAATTCATAATCCAACATCTGATCTTGGAGTAAAAGTTTAAAAAAATTCTCTCAAATGTAGAAGAGTACTTTCATCATAGACTGTAGACTCAAGTCTTGTTGCTCTTTTTTCAGTGTACAATCTGTATTTGATTTGAAACCACAGATTCTCCTCCAAAGCCCAGGATTGAGATCTCAGGTGATGTGAAGGAGAAGGAGTCTGTCTCTATCAGCTGCTCAGCTTCCACTCCCTGTCCACACTCTCCTCCTCAACTCACCTGGAACCTCCAACCAGACTCTCACCACATGATGGAGGAAAACACAGATCGAACCTTCACAACTAGAATCCAGAAGAGCATCACTCTGTCACATGAACATGATGGATTCATCATCAGCTGTTCTGCCAGATATCCTGTGAATGAAGGAAAAGATGTAAAGACGTCAGAGGAGAGAAAGACTCTCAATGTTTCATGTGAGTGTTTGTTCTTTCATCCTGTCAGCATACGATGATTTATGTGTTCACACAATGTCAGCTGCATAAAGTTTTTATGTCACATTTTCCTCAGATGCTCCCAAGAACACCTCAGTGTCCATCTGTCCATCAGGTTGGGTGTCAGCAGGTAGCCGGGTGAACCTGACCTGCTCCAGCAGAGCCAAACCTCCTGTGAGCCGCTTCACCTGGTTCAAGACCAGCAGAGATGCACCAATCAAAGTATCTGGAGACTTTTACAGCTTCAATGTCACTGATGGAGGAGTTTATTACTGTGTGGCCACCAATCAGCTTGGTAATCAAACATCCTCAGAGATCCATCTGACTATAGAAGGTAAACACAGAACTTGGTTACATTTGTTAGTATGTTAGGAACTCAGCTTTTTGTTTCCATAGAGACTTGCAAAAAAGTGTTTTTTATACATTTAAGGTCTCATTTATATTCATGGCGTTTGCACAAATTGGCTTCCTAAAGAGGCCGAGCCACTTTACAAGCAGAAGTTTTAATCTATAAAAACATTTTTGACGTTTTGGAGACACAGATGGTGAATTAAAGCCGGACTGTAAAAATTAAATGTGCGATGCATCATTACAACAAAACATCTTATATTTAACATCCATCCCACGTTACTTTGCACCAATAGATCCTCTTCATCATTAACAGTAAAACCAGCAGAGTCATTAGTTCTTGTACTAGTGTATATAACAGTACACACGTTTCAATCGTTAAAGATGTAAACCAACTCAAACCTAAAATCAAATGTGGCTTAATATCTAATATTTAGTTCTCCTACTCTCTGCTGTACGAGTCACTCTTGGTCTTCTGTGGAGCAGCTGATGGATTCGTCATCATCCGATAACGTGAACTGTTGAATAACTGCAGAACACGGCCTCGTCATTTAAAACAAATCTTTTAGTACTTTGCATCTTGACCCAAGTAATATTTTACTTTTCATCAAGTGTTTGGGACTAAAATCGCTGCAGGAAACACAACATAATTGATGAATTTATGGTTTATTCCAAGCAGTGACGGAGAGATGCTGCATCTGATAGTGGAGTAAAAGAAAAACATTTCACTCTCAAATGTAGAAGAGTACTTTCATCACAGACTGTAGACTCAAGTCGCGTTTCTCTTTTTTCCGTTTACAATCTGTATTTGATTTGAAACCACAGATTCTCCTCCAAAGCCCAGGATTGAGATCTCAGGTGATGTGAAGGAGAAGGAGTCTGTCTCTATAAGCTGCTCAGCTTCCACTCCCTGTCCACACTCTCCTCCTCAACTCACCTGGAACCTCCAACCAGACTCTCACCACATGATGGAGGAAAACACAGATGGAACCTTCACAACTAGAATCCAGAAGAGCATCACTCTGTCACATGAACATGATGGATTCATCATCAGCTGTTCTGCCAGATATCCTGTGAATGAAGGAAACGATGTAAAGACGTCAGAGGAGAGAAAGACTCTCAATGTTTCATGTGAGTGTTTGTTCTTTCATCCTGTCAGCATACGATGATTCATGTGTTCACACGATGTCAGCTGCATAAAGTTTTAATGTCATATTTTCCTCAGATGCTCCCAAGGACACCTCAGTGTCCATCTGTCCATCAGGTCGGGTGTCAGCAGGTAGCCGGGTGAACCTGACCTGCTCCAGCAGAGCCAAACCTCCTGTGAGCCGCTTCACCTGGTTCAAGACCAGCAGAGATGCACCAATCAAAGTATCTGAAGGAGACTTTTACAGCTTCAATGTCACTGATGGAGGAGTTTATTACTGTGTGGCCACCCATCAGCTTGGTAATCAAACATCCTCAGAGATCCATCTGACTATAGAAGGTAACTAATAAAGGTACTTCAGTAATCAATATTGTTACATTCCCATAGTGCCTTTATTTAGTCACTTGTTTTTTTCATCTTGTCTTTAGGTGGCGTTGATTATCTTCTATTGGGTGCAGTTCTTGGAGGAATCATTGGGATCATCGTGCTCATCGGCCTGGTTGTCTTTGTTTGGTCAGTAGCATAATTAAAGAATGTGTCTCCAATGAAATGTGGTCTTTTTTTGGTATTATGTGTATTAGACCCAATATTTTGTCTTGCAGGCGTTTGAAGTCTCCACATCCAACTGCACATCAGAGTCAGGTGAGAACAAACCAAACAACTCAGTGTGGTTTTGTTATTTGGAATCAAGCGGGTTTCACAATCACTTCCTGTTTGCTTAATTTATTCTTTTATGCTGAATCAGCCTGTTGGAGAGACAGTGACAACAGAAGAAGGAGACGTCCACTATGGAGAGATTAACTTCTCGAGGCTCAGATCTGGACCGTCCTCGGTCTCGGAGCAGGACGGTGGACAGCAGGAGGACATGCTGTATGCGCAGGTCAAAGTGTCCAAGGCAGCAGACAACGTCACACGGACTGCTGGCGTCCAAGAGGATCTCTACGCTCAAGTGAAGAGAAAATGAGCCGTGGTCACATTTGGGTTTTATGGTTAATATGCTTTTTACACAAATAACAAGCTTCATCTGTCAGTTTATGGAGATAAAGAATCGTGAGAAAATGTCATCTTCACTTCTCACAGTTAATTAAAGAGGAACTTCAAACCTCCACATCCTGCAGCACCCTGCAATTTTATACATTGTTGACATATTGAGGTATTCACGATTAGTATAAATAATAGTCCCACTGCTCTAAATAGAGTAAGTATAAGTATTCTCAAAGAAAGCCCTGCTAATATATCAGCTTATGATTTTTTCTTTGTTTCAAATCTTAAAAGGTGTCTTCAAAACTCATTTAGTTATCTTTTGGATTAATGTTTTATTGTTCTATTTCGTCTTCTTCAAAAGACAATTTACTGAATTTCAAGATATGTATTAATTGCAACGTAATAAAAAACATACGACTTAATCTCTGTTGCATTTATTGGTCCATAATTTCACGTACGGTGTGTAAACATCTTCTGAAAATCATACAGCTTAAATCACAAACATTACACAAGTGTCAGAATGATTTTTGCACAACAATTCCCACTTGATGGTCTTTTTATTAATTTATTTGAATGCAAAGCTTAACGAGAAATAGAAAGGGCCTTTCCTGAGACTCAGTCAATTGTATAATAAAAGATCTGGTGCTAAAATACACTTTAAAAAAAGGTTAAAACTGTGTGACTTTTCTCAAAAGATAATCTTTGGGTTTCAGCATGAAAACATTAGCAGCCCAAAAGTTGAGTTGTTTAACGTCTCAAAGGCACAACAAGGTCGTGTTGATTGTGTTTTAGTGACATTAGCTTCTTTATGTTCAACGTCTGAGAAATCTGACCTTCATGTTGGGACAAACCTCCCTCCGGCATCCATTAGTGGAAAGTCACGTCCAAAGTTGCTGCATTGTAGACTTTTTATCTCTGACATTTCTATTCCTAACAGATTTCCCTTCATAAAAGAGAAAGATGAGTCACTGGTTGAGATTATTTTACACACACAAAGTTAACGATTACTGGCCTGGCTATTGTTTTTATTTTATTTAAATGGAGCTTTCCATTTATCAGATCATTGAAATTCAAACAATTAAAATACTGACACAAACCATCTTTGACTGAGCAGCGAGTACTAGAACTCTCTAAAACCTGCATTTCAGTTCACAAACTTCTTGTAAAAACCAAATAGGGGTCAGATGTTTCTAAGCCAAATCCCAACCTGGTCCTCAGGACTCAGGGTTCATGTTTACATGAATAAAACCAATAAGTGTGATTAGGGATCTAAGCTGTGTGTGTGTGTGTGTGTGTGTGTGTGTGTGTGTGTGTGTGTGTGTGTGTGTGTGTGTGTGTGTGTGTGTGTGTGTGTGTGTGTAAACCTAACCAGTGACTTCTGAGTGCACCTTAACAATCTGCATCCTGAGTCTTCAGCGACCACCGGCCTGTTTCCGGTTGAACTTCCTGTCTGTGGGCTTCTACTTGTGCACTCGCTCCTCCAGCGCCTTAAGCTCCGCCTCCACCTGAGCAGGTAGATCGGCTCCAACTTGCTGGGAGAAGTAGGCTCTCAACTCCTCGTCTCTTTCTGCCAGAAATACCTGGGCACGTCGAACAGGGCCCCCATATCCACATCACTGCCCAGACCTTTGGTGTCGATGGCGCCATCCTCTGGCAGCCAGCCGATGATGCTCCTCTTGGCCGCCTCCTCCTCCCTCTCCCGCCCGCAGCGCTTGAAGATCCACTCCAGGGCGCGCGCGTTCTCGCCGAACCCGGGCCACAGGAAGGCGCCGCTCGCCGGGTTCCTGAACCAATTTACGTGGAAGATCTTGGGCAGGTGAGTGGGGGCCTTCCGGGTCTGCATGCTCAGTCAGTGAGCGAGGTAGTCGCCGAAGTTGTAACCGAAGAACGGCCGCATGGCGAAGGGGTCGTGCATGATCACCTTGCCTGGAGAATGAAGAAGGGGCTTTAGCAGTAGAAGGTCAGGTGATGCTCAGCAGCCGCCGTGGCTTCAGACCTCATAGAAGCTCCAATAAAGACTTGCCAATAGAAAGACTCCAGAGGGACTCCTACAAAGTCAATCATTGAACACATTTGATGCACGTTTAATTCAAGCAGAAAAGCACGCCTATAGCGTTTGAAACTATAACATGTGTGCGTCAGAACCGAGCGGGACTCAGAGCAGGTGTATAGGAGGACAGTTTATTCATACAGAGTACTAATAGATCCAAAAATAAGGTCACTCCAAAAGGAGGAAAACAAAGCTACTTATCTAAACCTAACTGAGACCTGACGCTGGAACAAAAAAGAGCTACAAAGAAAAATCACTCGAACGAGGTAAAACTGTGGTCACGAGACTAGAGAAACTATGACTATGGATCTTGGACACTGGCTGGTATGACGACGTAGGACGACACACTGGCACAAGACAAAGGGAGACGCAGACTATATGAACACATGGGGAAGCGGGAACAGATGGACACAATCTGGAATCAGAGAAGAAAATCAGTCTGGTGACACATCAGGAAGAGCAAGGAACCCGAAACGAGAGTTAATTTACAAAATAAAACAGGAAGTCACGAAAACAAACGTGGAGACACTTGACATACAGGTGTGATAGTGTGATCAGGACCAGTGGTAAAATCATAGTTTGTGTGGTTGAATAGCAGAATAATTTCTCTATTATGAATCAAACATATTGTATATTTTCAGTGATTCTTAACCATAGGGTACAAATTGAAGAGACCGGAGATATTGACGTTATTCATCCATGAGACGCTCTTTTGCTTCCCACCACTTGGTGGCGGTAATCCGTCCGTCAGTTGTTTAAACAGCTCCAATAAGAAGAAAAAAGACCGACAGCCGCCAAGCTGGTCTGTAAGTGAAAGTCATTAGAAATTTAAAATAAAATATGAAGAGGAAGGTGGTGTCCAACATTACAATCCTGACTTCATTAAGTACGGATGTATAAACGGAGGTAATAAGGAGGTGTATAAGGAGAGAGCCCAGTGTGGAGTTTGGACCAACAACGAAGCACCGAAGCCGTCGAAATTAAAGCGGTATATGGAAACCAAACAGCCGGCGGATTTTTTTTAAAGAAAGGAAAATGGGCTACAGATGCAGAAAAGGTCGGTCATCCGACTGACTCGCAACTCTGAATCCGACCTGAAAGCTAGTCACCTCGTAGCCAGACGTGTGGCACAAGAAACCTTCCACCACAGCGGAGGAGTCGGTTCTACACGCCGCTGCGGATGTGCGCGTGAGACGATCACGTGTTGATCGCGTGAAGAAGATATGAAGAGCAACTGCTGGCTCTGTGATGTCAAAATATTGACTGCTGAAGCATTATTCAAATGAATGTGATTATAAGCTTATGATGTTGATTTGCACTTTGCACTAAAAAACTAAGCCAAAACAGAAAGAAAAGAGAAAATAATTACATTTACGCAAAAACTATACTAGTAAAACACCGACAAACGGCTTAACCAAAGCTTAACGAAATCATAAATAAGGAAAATAACAAATAAGTACGGCCTGTCTCTTGTACACAGTTAAAATATGTCTTGACCCAGTTAGGAGGCCCACAGCGAAACACGCAAAAATTAGCAATGTGGGGAGGCCAAAACAAAGCAGACCCCAAACCAGGGTAAACTTGGCCAAAGCAGACCCCAAAGCCAAAGCAGACCCCAAACAGGGTGAACTTGGCCAAAGCAGACCCCAAACAGGGTGAATTTAGCCAAAGCAGATCCCAAAGCCAAAGCTGTTACCTCCGACCCTCCTGCTTCGAAGCTTCTGGCGAAATATAAACCAGTGCACGGCAAAGCAAATGTATCGGTGCTCGGTTCGTTCACTGCTGCTCACATGATCAGTGACGTCCGAATCTTCATTCCGGCGCACAGTCACGTGACCGCTTCAATTTGATTCAAATGGGCTCGAAACAGGATTCGGGCTTGTCGGTTTGATACAGTCAAAGTCAGTGTTGTTGTAGTAGTAGTAGCAAAGAGCAAATTTACAATGGAACCTGTGGCAAAGAGGTCGCTCCGAGATGTGGGAGCACTTCAATTTGATTTCCTCTAACAAGGTTGGCAATAGGCAGGCAAAGTCTGTCATTTGTATTGTGTAATTATGTTTATTTTTATTGTGGAGACCACCAGATATTTGGCTGAATCCAACATTCCACGGAGTGAAGACCCGCTAAAATATTGGGACAAACATGTGTACCCACATCTATTTGTATTAGCACGCAATCATTTGAGCATTCCTGCCTCATCCGTGCCGTGTGAGCGCCTTTTTTCTAAGGCAGGGGAAATAGTATCTACAAAAAGAAACCGACTCAACCCCAATACTGTGAAGAAAATTATGTTTCTCAATAAAAATCAATAATTTCATGCCCCATCCCATGTGTCCACAAGCACCACAATATCCTGTCATAACAAACCGGTCCAAAAGCACAACCACTGCCCCACTGACCTTTCCTCTGTAAATCACTTCCCACATTCAAACAATTCACATAAGTCCCTATGACTGCTATGAACTGCACATGCAGTAGGAAGCACTGGTATTTTAAATTGTATATAGGAATCCATGTATTTATTAGATGATTTATTGGTTCAACTTTTCATAATCATGTTCAACCCACAGAGACTGGGTCAAAATATACTGGTAGGCTATTTGATACATATGCACTATAGGTTTTCAACAGCAGAGGTCATCATAGTTTGCGATGCACTGAATCAATGAACCTTTTTCCGATACAATTGGCTGGAAAGCTTCACTTTGCTATCACTACAAAGCAGACCCCCAAACAGGGTGAATTTATCCAAAGCAGACCCCAAACAGGGTGAATTTAGCCAAAGCAGACCCCAAACAGGGTGAATTTAGCCAAAGCAGACCCCAAACAGGGTGAATTTAGCCAAAGGCAAAGCAGCAGTGGTCTCTGGCAGGTTGGCTGGTGTAGTGCTGCTGCTCAATGATCCTTTGCCCGGTCAGGCCGCTTCGGACAATCAGCGTGGGTCAGAGGGATCAACGCTACCACGAGAGTTACCAGCGGTGGACATTGAGTGCATCAGGTGGAGAATAGTATGCAGCCATACCAGTGAGCTTCTGGGACACAAAAAACACTTAAATGAGCACTGGACGGACCACCTGGAAGCGAATACAGCTGCTGCCGACAGCCTACCTCTGCCTAACACTCTTAACACTGCTCACAACTTTGATAAAATCCAGCTGTGTGCGTCTACTCAGTGCTGCTCCAGCTGCTGAATGCCTCTCCTCCTTCTTTTTTTGGTTCACGGGTTAAGGTTTTTAGTTGGCATCCATCTTATTGGTGCATTATCGCCACCTTCTGCCCCGGAGTGTGAATCAGACACTATCTTTCTCCCAACATGCCCCTCCCTCCCCAAAAATAAAATAAGAAAAATAAATAAGTAACTAAAAATAAGAAATAAAAATAAACACATCTATCCACACACACACACACACACACAAATCAGCTCACCTGGTCCACAGGTGCATGCAGCTTATTGATGAACACCACTTTCTCACTCAAAGTAAAAAATAACACACAACATCTACACTTTGTAGAAGCAAGAGCATCATTTTAACAAGATGGACCTTAAAGAATAATTAATTAATGAATGCGTAAATAGGAAAGAAGAGCACATCCTCCTGTAAGCCTGGAGAGAATATGGTTTCATATTTGATGTAATCTTACAGAACAGTTCATGTCATAACTGTTGTTTCTAAAATGACAAAACAAGACAATTATTGAAATAAATTTGAATGCACATGAGCCCAGTTAATAATGCATCAATAATCATCCTCAGGACGACATTTTTTTCAGTACAAGACGACCAAAATGAAAGGTATCTCCCTCTCATCGTGGCAGTTCCTTGTTTGTCATGTTCCCACATGTTTAGTTGGTGGTCTTTATTTAGCTTTGGCTGCTCTAACAGATGAATAGGGAGAAGTGGGTATCTAACACTCTCAATAAATTCTGGGACCTTAGGAACAGGGGAAGTTTTTTATTCAGACGCTGCAGTACTCTCACTTGTGAACTTTCTGCAATAAAATTCATTAGGAAATGCCATTTTGAAGTCAAAGAATTTGTGATGTGTGCGAGGGTTGA